AGGCCCTGGGCCCTGAGGACAGAACCCCAAGGGGAAGAGGCTGCACTTCAGAACTAGGACTGCCCTCGTGTCCCAGTCTCGCAGCTGGAAGCGCCCCGGGAGATGGGGGGACACTGACTTAGGTGTGAGGGACTTGCACGGTCTGAGGCAGGACAGGTCTCCTCTCATCCCCCAGAACTGCCGTCCCCCCAGACGGTCCAGCGCGTGCACTCGCTCCCATACAGTTAGCGGCTGATTATGCGGAGCGCACACAACCCTAAATCCGATCCACTCTCCTTGGGCCGAAGTGTCGCCGACGCTGCCAGCTCACCGGCTCATTGAGGGAAAGGGTCGGTCTCGGGTCCTTAATGGCACTTGATAGGTGTGAGAAAAAGATTATATGAACTTAACGCGATGGCCACAGAGTGATGTTCTAACACTTTCTCTTGGACTGTTACCTTTTTATTTTTATAATAAAAATTATGATTTTTATAATTCTGAGAATCCTGCCTCAAAACACAAGCCAGCAGGGTTCCTAGGTTCCTTTCCAAGGTTGTAACAAGAATCTTTGCTACTATGATTTCTAAGGGCAAGCTTCGTCTCCAGCCCCCCTCACAGTTTAATGCGCCAACCGAAGCAACCCCTGTCCAGCTCCTAGACAGCCAGGCCCTCTCTTCGTGCGGTTCCTAATCTTCACAACCGCCCTGTGAGGCTTCAGTAGTGCCCTCTGTTCTACTGATGAAGAAGCGGGGGCTCAAGAAAGCTAGAATGCCTTCCTCAAGGTCACATGGCTTCGAACCCAGACTTGTGTCCAGAACTGTGTCAGGACTTGACTGTTTTGGAGACAATCTCATTTGAGCCAGGTAACTCTGTGAAGTAGGTTTACGTTTCAGAAAGCCGAAGAAATAGCTGAACTTCTAAGAGATTAGAAAGGGTAAAGCCGGGCACCTGGGTGGCTCAGTCGTTAAGCGTCTGCCTTCGGCTCAGGTCATGATCCCGGGGTCCTGGGATCGAGCCCCGCATCGGGCTCCCTGCTCCGTGGGAAGCCTGCTTCTCCCTCACCCACTCCCCCTGCTTGTGTTCCCTCTCTCGCTGTGTCTGTCTGTCAAATAAATAAATAAAATCTTTTAAAAAAATTATTTAAACGTATAAAGCCAGGCCGTGTTCCAACCCGGTGGAGGCAGCAGCACCCGCTCCGTGCCCAGCTTTGGTGGGCTGTCGCCCGGACCTTCCTCCCCTGGTTTCAGATGGGAACGCGGGCACCGCTTTCCCATAAAGAAGAGTCACACTTTTTTTTCCCCCTGCTATTACGAAGTTTAGTTTTTAACATTGTCAGGCAGCTTGCTGGGGCGGCTTCATCAGCATCCACGCACCGGGCACAAGGAAGCTCCAGCTGGGCACAGGTTCTGAAGAGCCTTATTTCAGATTTTTTTTTGACCAATATGGTGATACTCTGCATGGACTCCAATATCAGCATTCTGGAAAGACACCACCTCACCAACTGTGTTCTCCTGCTTCACACTGGAGAAGGGCTGAAACAATGACGGTAACCTTGAAACCACTGGTTTATTTATTTAATTATTCTGGCAGGGCTGTTTTTTTGTACAATGTGAGCTGTAGGAGATCAGAAATAAATACAGCTTAAGATTTGAACCACGTCCTGTTGTACTTTTTCTCAAGCCTGAAATAGAATTTTCTAACACCTTTTGTGGTTGGAAATACTGAATTTAAATAGGACTGCAGATATAAACAAAAAGAGCAAGATGTGGATTGATGTGCCTATTTCAGTAAAAACGCAGCCACATTATTTCTGAAATACAGATACAAAAATTGACAAAATGACAAGTGGAAAATATAAAAATCTGGAGCTGTGCACTGTAGTGATAATAGGCCTTAAATAACGCTGTTAGGTACTAATAAAAGACCTGAAAAACGAATAACTTATGTTGTTGAGGGTCTCTTCAGGTCACAGTTTTTAAGATTAATAATTAAAAACCCCATTTCATTATTATTGATACCAGTGGCAACGACATGGGTAAGTATTCATTTTTCTTTTTAACAAAAGATAAAGCTGAGAAATCATCAGAAAGATGAGATAACTAGGTAAGTCTGAGCTCATGGTCAAGGATTCATTTTCTTCTGATTTGTGTAAGTCAAATTCCCATCTACCTAACATGCAATGTCCTTTCCAAACAAAGGACCCAGGTACCTCAGTATTACTCTGGAAGTCCCTGACTTACATTCAGTTTTGCAAACTGTTATTCAATGGTGCCTCACTGTCTGGATTAGGTGACAATCGGTGTAAATGTTGTTGAGTTAGGAAGCCAAAAGACAGCAACATTTGATAATTTAGCTAGGTAATGGTAAGAATTTATATTAGATGCCTAAAATTAAACTCTTTAATTTTAACAAAGGAAGATCTACTATCGTCTACTTTTGTAAGGCAAACAAGTGAAAGTGATTACCCATTAATGGAAAGAATACTCAGCAGACAAGAAAATCAATTATGTCATAAACTTTTTTTTAAAGATTTATTTATTTGAGAGAGCGAGAATGAGAGAGAGAGAGAGAGAGTACATGAGAGGGGGGAGGGTTAGAGGGAGAAGCAGGCTCCTCGCTGAGCAGGGAACCCGATGTGGGACTTGATCCAGAGACTCCAGGATCATGACCTGAGCCGAAGGCAGTCGCTTAACCCACTGAGCCACCCAGGCGCCCCAAGTATGTCATAATCTTACAAATACTTGTGGTTCAAATAGGAAAATGCAGCACAACAAAATGAGGTCTAGTCCCCAACACAATATACAAACTGGGTCTTGCTGCACAGGTAGGCCCCTGGAAATGGCTCAAGCACCTTACTTAGTCATTTGGATTTTGAGCTATAAACCCAAACACACTACCTACGTAAGCCTGTCATATGGCACCGATTACAAACTTTTCTAAGAACTTACAGGGCTGAAAATGTTTGTTTTACATCTTTGCCAGCTGATGTGGAAGACATCTAGGAAGGAAAGTACTGTGACTTTTTCTTCCCTCTGCCAGTTTGGTCAACGGATTACACCAAAACCAATTACAACCTCTGTGAATGTGGCTTTAGACTCAGACAAGCTATTATCCACCACCAAGAGGTGCATCAAAGACTCTTTTCTGTGTATCCTGGATTATTCCCTCAGCGCTCCCCAGGGTGAGGGGCGTGGCTTCCACAGTGACCCGGTTACCAGGTTGCCAGGCACCGCGCTCCGTGGTGCGGGTAGAACAGCCACACCAGCTGAAGCGCCCAGGGTGCCCAAAGGGTGAAGCAGGCAGGGGACCGGCAACACTGTTGGGCCGTCAGGAGGAAAACGAGACAGGACTTTATAGTGCAGCATTATTTTTTATTTAATTGTGCACTGTTATTTTAAAAACAAATTGTGCATGCCTTTAAATAGCAGAGATGATGAAATAGGTTAAGTCATAAATTATGGATAAGGGCTGTGGAAGAACAGGAAGCCTTTATAAAAATTACAGAGGGAGAAATAATACGATTTAGCTACAAAACAGTGCTATAAAAAGCTTTTTCTATAAAATTTTTTTTTTCTTTCTGGTAGCTTTAAAGCACGGGTCATACCATTGTTCCAGCTCAGAGGTCAGCCAACTTTTTCTCTGGAACTATTTACTATCTGACAAAGAGTACCTAATTCGGGCTTCGTGGGCCATATGGTCTGTGTCTCAACTCCTCGACGCTGCTGTTGTACCTTGAAAATAGCCATGTGCCACATGGAAACTAACGGGTATGGCTTTACTCCATTTACAAAAAACAAGTGGCAGGCCAGGGCTGCAGTTTGGTCTTCTAGACCAGCACTGTCCAACAGGAAAATTACATCAGCCACATGTGTAATTTACAATCTTCTGGTAGCTACACTATAAAAAATCAGGTAAAATTATTTTAACAGTCTGTTTTATTTAACCCCAAATATCATTTCAACATGTAACATAAAAACTATTAATAATATGCTTTACCTTTTCTTGTACTAAGTTTTCAAAACTGTTGTGTACCGTATGCTCACAGTGCACTAGTCAGATTTCAGGTGCCCAACAGCCACCCGTGGCTCGTGGCTACCAAGTTGCAGCATTATGTTCTAGAACTTCCATGCTGGGATTTCTACAACCGGTCTGGTGTAGTGATGAAGTATTGGCATTTGCTTCTTAAAAGATAGAGAATGGAATTATGTTGCCTCGAGGGAGACAGGCCAAGGGATTACAGCTACTGGGAAGAGGTATGTGGCCTCAGACACTTTAAGCTGAGGTGGCCCAGGCTGCTGGGGCACAAGTGGGTAATTAGAGCTATGATACAGTCAGATGATGTTAGCTTCACGTGTCAATGCAACAAACAAATCTAATTAAAAAAATATCTGATACAGACGACAAAATGATCAAGGTGTGCACACATCACTCTAATTTTGGGCCTTCACTAAAGAATGCTAATTGTCCTTAACACAACTGGTCTTCGGCACTGTCCCTGTATCAGAACTGAAAGTGTCTAAAAATGTGATTGGGAAGATAAAATGGATAACCATGTAGCAAGGGGAAGAAAAGCTTCGAAAGTAGACTGAATTTTTAAAATGATTAAAATGATCTAAGTGCTCTTCCATTTTTGTATAACAGGGTTTAACGCTAGTTGGCGATAATTTAACAAGTTACCAAAGGGTAATCTTTTTTTTTTTTTTTAAGATTTTATTTATTTGACAGTGGGGAGGGTAGCACACAAGCAAGGGGAGCAGCAGAGGGAGAGGGAGAAGCAGGCTCCACTTAGCAGGGAGCCCGATGTGGGACTCGATCCCAGGACCAAGCTGAAGGCAGGCACTTAACCAGCTGCACCACCCAGGTGCCCCGCAAAGGGTAATCTTAGGCCATAATGGTCAGTTCAACCCTCGGGAAGTTCATCAGTATTTGAACCTAACTTTCCAAGTGATCAAATCAACACTTCTAAGATAAAACCGGATAGAACCTTCTGGTAATAAAACATAGAGGCAAGTGTTTTTAACAAAAAATTTATTACCAAAATACAATATTAAAGTCAATACATGACAAACTCCTGTAAAGCAAAATAAATTATTCTAACATTGTACAGTATTTCCAAAGGTAGTTAAAGAAGCACTATAGACCTTGCTTCACTGTTTGTTGAACAGATAAACTGTCCTACCATGAACACAATCCTAGAGTTTTAGGCTTTAAGGCATGCAGCTCGATGTGCAGGATAATTTTACAAAATGCAAATCATCCTATTTTAATAAGATACAGTGTCAGAATTAACTGTAGTCTTTACATGTCAGTGTTCCAGAATTTTTTAGACTTTGGCTATAGAAGCAATGCCATAGTGTTACACAATACTCATTTCTTAAAAAAATACATGTATTCATGTCCATGAATATCAAACTCAAATTTCTATTAAATATATTTTATAGAATATTACTTAGAGCACCTTGCTGTACAATAAAAAGATTAAATAAGTGTCTATGAAAACTAAAAATATAATAAGTCTCAATAGAGAAGCCTGCTTGTCTTTGTCAAGCCAAGTACATTGTGGGAAGATACAATGTAAACATGGGTGCCCACCATCTGCTTTGTGAGAAAAGACAAAGAAAATAAAGAAGCCACCAAGAGCTACCTCGAATAGGATGAGAGATCTAGAACAAAGGCTTCTGTTCTGTCAGTGTCCGTACACCCCGCAGGCCGGACACAGAACTAAAATCTACAGGCAGGGCACTGGGAGAACACTGGGGCCGCCCACCATCTTCTGGGGTTATTAGAGGAGGAGAGAAAACGTTGGCCCCCTGAAAGTATTACTTACAATGACCAGAATGCATCGTCTTGCCCCCTCGCCACCTTTGCCTTGCATTCAGTACGTTTCTTTTAAAAACCATTTTTACTATCAAATCTTAGAACTGTGTAAAGTGTTCAGAGTGGGAAACAAATACTATGAGCTTTATTACGGCAAAAGATCTATTACAAGTAAAATGTTATTCCTATAAAGAGAATTCCTGCTATTAGTGTAATACCTATCTCTTCTACAATTAAAATTGCATACTTAGCCTTCACTATTACTTTTAGAAATGTTCAACTGTTCTTGGTAGAGACAGTGTTCACTTAAGGCTTGCCACAAAATGGTAACAGGAAGGTATGGAACACCCATGGTATATGGCTCCTCCTATTGCCCCGGGGAAAGCGTTTGAGGATATTCTAGGCTACAATCAAATGAATGTTTAAAGGTTTTGAACTTCTGGGTTTTTTCTCCATGAGTTAGGTAAATTTTAAATCCATGATTCCAAATGGGAAATTTATGTAACAATCAATGGAAGTGGTTTAGGGAACTGAATGTAATTTAAAAAATTCACTATTGATGTTTTTGGGATTTTTTGGGTTATTAATATTTTCCAAATGATTACATGAAATTAAAACCAAGGAAACTTTATAAAACAAAATCCTGCTACTAAGGTTGTTAATTTTTAGAATGAGTGATAAAAATGGAACCATTTAAAATATTTAAATTTGAAACGAAATATAATTGTGTTTTAATTCTGAAAACTGGAGAAACTATAAATCCATATGCAGTGAATTTGGGTGATATAATTTAGTATAAATTCACTTTATCTTTTTTAAAAACCACCTATCAGAGTGGTATTAACTCCCATAAATAAAGATACCTAAATCAAACAGCCGCCAAGTTACGATCAATTGTTTGTTTAAATATCATCAACATGAGATTAAAAAAAAAAATTTAAACAATGTTTCAAGATGGCCTGGCCCCACCCACTTAAGTAGTTCCTGATGCGACCTGAAAAATACTAATTCATTCAATCCATACCTAGACTTTGGGAAGGGAATTCTATCCTAAAATATGTCTACAAAGTATTCCACTCAAAAAACTGTTTTCAATGTCTTCTGAGTTTATCAGAGTCACAGCCTCAGCACTAGAAGATGTTAGAAATCAAGTTCAGAAAGAGCACCATGAATATGGTGCACTGCATGGTGCACCGGCCTTTTGACTGGTATGAAGAATTTACTTTGACAAAACAATGCAAAAATAAACGATCAGTTCAACAAAAGCCAAAACGAAAACAAAAACACCCCTGTTCTCTTTGAAACACATTATAATACAAACTGTGTAATTAATGAGAAGATTACATGGGTGCGATGGCGAGTTTTAGTGCGAAAGCACTGGTAGTTGGTCTTCCATATGTCCTATTGCACACTGACAAAATGGAATATCCTAGATAGGAGAAACCCTGTGGACTTGCCAAATGTTGTTTGTTATTAAAAGTTTTATAAACAACCTGAATTTTTACTATAGTTTAGCCACATTTGATTATACCTCTTATGCTAACAACTAGATTAAACTCCCGGAAATAAAATCTCCACAGCAGTACTCATTCAAAGGGGCTTTTGAATTTCGCCCCTCTTCCCCTAAATGATTTTTATTTGAGTTCCAAGTACTTCCAAGATCTGATGATCAAATGCAAATTTTCATACTTTGTTGCTTGAATAGACCTTTGTGATACTACGCTTGGTCTATAGTTTGGGAGAGAGGACTATAAAGCATGTGTGGCAACGGAGCAAATTGCGGTGTTCTGTCAAACACTTTGAAAAGAGTCTTTGGGAATGTGCTGTGCTAAACGAGTCCCCATTTTCACGAACCTTCAGATTTGGTTTGAGGCAGGTGGGAATTCACCTATTTTCTCCTTCGCTCACAAGAAATTCACTGTAAATTTAAGACAATAATTTACTTCTTAAATGCCTATTTATACTCTGGGTTTGGATTCAGAGGTCTCTCTCTTTTTTAATAAGTAATGTATCTTAAAAAAAAGTACTGTATCTTAGATTGAGTAAATGATGAAATCCTATCGATTTGGGGAAAGATTTAGGTAGATCATTTCATAGCCCTCTGGTATCTTATCCTTGTTGACTCTGTTGGTGATAGTGAAAACCCCTCAGACAGCAGCCCCCCACCCCTCACAAGAGGCCCGTCCCTCTAGAGTTGGCATGTCCAAGCTCAGAATGAAGAAGAAAACTAAGCTCTGTTTAAGACTGTGACACTTTTACAACAAGAAGTTTTAGAATAGTTCCCAGAAAAGCTCTTTCTTAATTCTTTTGCTTGCATTTCTACACTATAATAAGCTTTGAATAATAAATACACTCAACACTAAGAAGAGGTAACAGGGTTAACACAGGGTTACATCTTTGCTTCCTCCTCAACCCACTTGCCCTCACTCAGAATATTTAAATATCTTTACCATGTATCCACCTGGAATTTTTTATTACACTGCAAATTTGCTTCCAAAGTCACATGCGTCTCTTCCTCAAAAAAAAAAAACAAAAACAAAAACAAAAAAACCCACAAAAACCAAAAACCAAAACCCAAACACCACACCAACTATTTCTCCTGTGTCTAGTAAGTTACTTGATAGCACAAAGGTGAAACCGTGGTTTAAAGGATTTCTCTTCTACCGTGTTCCTCTTCAAGTAGTTATTCAATCTAATTTGTGTTTAAAGTGGTGTTGTGGTCCTTATTTAGGATGATGTTTACGATCTCACCCTCATGCTCTTTCATATGATCCAAGAGATTTTCTTTGCTGGTAGATTCGAAGCCACAAATACAACAACAGAAGAGTAAAACACAATACTCCATACCAGGAGGCGCCAGACTGGAGTTTTTTTCTAAATTATATGAGGTATTACTTGTAGGGCTCAGTTTCTCATTGTCGTTGGAACCTACAACTTCGCCAGGAACCTGGGAAATCAGCTCTGAGGATGATACCAAATTTCCCGAACTTCCAGTGACAGGATCGGCTCTTTCCTCACTGCTGTTTACGAGCATCTTTGCAGGGGATTTCCCCAGAACCCTTAAAAACAAAACAAAACACACCAAATCCTCAGTTGGTTATAATGTAAGGTTAGCAGGTTTAACCCTCACTTTAGTTTACATACAAAAAGGGAAGGGGTAAGGATCAGGTACCTGCCACTCTGTGAAATGGCATCATTGATAGCCTTGTTTACTTGTTCGTAGTTGTAATTTTGGTCACTTGCGTGCTTCCACATGTGAGACTTCAAAGAAGGAGGGTGGCTGCACACATACCCACAGAGAGAGCATCTGAAAGACACAGGTGACAGGTGACAGAGCGATCCCATAACCTCATCTGAAGAATTACAGTGATTCTGTAACAATTATGAAATTCCTTCTCCGGAAGCCTCATGAGACATCCTATTTCACCAAATCTAAGATGTTACTGATTGTAAGAGATGTACTGATTTCGGAGGCTAAAGTGTCCTAGAATCAATAAAATTAAGTATTTTCTGTTATAAAAAATTTATTAGCATCATGACAAACATCCCAGATTACCTGGGCTATTACAGTATTTGGAAAGATTTCTAATATAGTAATATACAAAATCTTTGCTCTAAATTATTTAACCACACAAAGGAAGAAAAATACACAAAATCCATACTTTATACCACTCATTTTTTTAAGAAAGCAGAAAGGAGGGCGCCGGGTCGGCTCAGTTGGCTAAGCATCTGCCTTCGGCTCAGGTCATGATCCCAGGGTCCCGGGATTGAGCCCTGCATTGGGCTCCCTGCTTAGTAGGGAGTCTGCTTCTCCCTCTCCTTTGACCCCTCCCCCCCGCTTGTGCTCTCTTGCACTCTCTCAAATAAATAAAATCTTAAAAAAAAGAAAGCAAAAAGGAATCAAATAATTTTAACATGAACTGTTTATTTACAGATCCACAGAAAATGGTAGTAGTCCTGAGAGTAAATTAACAATTTAGATTTCATAAATAAAACTGTTAGTAATCTTCAAAAAGTTTCTATTTAAAATAACATTTGTGGGTGCCTGGTTGGCTCAGTTGGTTAAGCGACTGCCTTCGGCTCAGGTCATGATCCTGGAGTCCCGGGATCGAGTCCCACATCAGGGAGTCTGTTTCTCCCTCTGACCCTCTTCCCTCTCATGCTCTCTCTCAAATAAATAAATAAAATCTTAAAAAAAAATAACATTTGTTTCACATAATTGGTTACACTTGGTAAAATCTGAACTGAATGAAGTATTTAAAAAAAAGGTCCAAAAAAAAAAAGAATAGACTTTTTGGGAATAGATTCTTTTAGCACTTTTAGGTTTATCTCCTTTCCCCTGCGTCCAGTTCTCCCTCTTAGTAATATCTTCCATCAGTGTGGAGTATCTGTTACAAATGGTGAACCAAAATGGATACATCATTATTAACAGCTGAATGTTCACCGTTGGTGTTCCACAGTTCTGTGTGTTCTGACAATACAAAATGTCATGTATCTATCATGACAAATCATAAAGGATAATTTCCCTGCCTGAAATACCCTCTGTGCTCTATGTATTCACCCCTCACACCCCCCCCATCCCTGACAATCGCTGATTCTTTTACTGTCTCCACAGTTTTGCCTCTTGCAGAATGTCACACAGTTGGAATCACAAAGTATGTAGCCTTTTGGACTGGTTTCGTTCATTTAGCCATATGCATTTAAAGCTCCTTCACATCTTTTCATGGCCTGATAGCTCTTTTCTTATCACCAAATAATATTCCATTGCCTGGACACACCACAATTTGTTTACCCATTCACCTACTGAAGGTTATCTTGGCTGCTTCTACATTTTGGCTATCATGAATAAAGTTGCTGTAAACATATACGTGCAGTTTTTTGGATGGATATGAATTTTCATCTTTTGGGTAAATACCTAGGAATACAATTGCTGGAGTGTATGGTAAAATTATGTTTATTTTTTTTTTTAAGATTTTATTTTTTAATTAATCTCTATAGCCAACGTGGGGCTCGAACTCCCAACCCTGAGACCAAGAGTTGCATGCTCTATCGAATGAGCCAGCCAGGTGCCCTGCAAATGTACTTTCTAAAAGAAAATTTTGTTAAATACTTAAGTAGAAGCCTAACAAATCAGGTAACTTATCTGAACTCTTCACAACAATAGGACACATGGTCACTGATAATGAAGCACAAAGAAAATAAAAATGCATAAATAAATATGACAATTAAACAGGCAAGGTCTAAACTCTCCCTCTAATCCATCTTCAACTTTATGATGGATGCAGCAGTATTAGCTTTTTATTACACATCCTGAGGCATCAGGTCCAAGGCCAGTGAAGGGCCTTTTACCTCAAGAAATACCAGGCCAGTTAAAGGCAATAAATGTGCAATTTTTGGAAGAACTTCCATAAATTCAAACATAAAAAAGATGTACAATTTTCATTAATAAGCAGAAAAATGCATCATGCCCATAAGTGTGACAGAGATGAATACTGATAATGCCATTTTTGTACAGATGTGAAGAAATGGAAATGTATAAATTGCATTATGTAAGTAGAAGCACTCTGAAGAGTAATTCCTTTAAGACTGAAGAGGCACACATCTGTGACCTTGTATTCTAGTTCTAGGGTGCTACCCTAAAGATATTCTTATGCGTGTTTACAAGGGCACATGTACAAAAATCATCATGTAGCCATGATCAGTTAAGATTTTATTTATTTATTTGACAGAGAGACACAGCGAGAGAGGGAACACAAGCAGGGGGAGTGGGAGAGGGAGAAGCAGGCTTCCCGCCAAGCAGGGAGCCCCATGTGGGGCTCAATCCCAGGACCCTGGGATCATGACCTGAGCTGAAGGCAGACGCTTAACGACTGAGCCACCCAGGTGCCCCTAGCCATGACCAGTTTAAAAAAAAAGGGAGGCAAACTCACAACCACTGTTTTCCCACAGGAATATGGAAATAAAATGGTTTATTTTCATATAAAGGAACATTATACTGTGCCTAAAATGAAAGAACTAGATGTATACTTATCACATGAACCAATGATCAGTGAAAAGAAAAAGTAACAAAAATATTTGTTTGGTACATCATTTAAATAAATTGTGAAAATACCAAAACCAGTGTATATTAATACACTCAAATATGTATACACATACACACACACACACACACACACACACACACACAGTAAAGTCTTGAAAAAATGCTAGGAAATGATACATATTAGGATCAGGACAATGGGAAGGAAGGGGAGAAGTTTTACATGTCCCTGTTTTATTTTTTCAAAATGTGGTAAGATGTTTGAAAGGTTTTATTACTTAAGATATTTTAAAACTGTTATTCCATTCTCTTTAAGACTTTATAGATTGCATAGTAACTTTATTACTGGCCACACATGGAAACTAACCTTCAATCATTTTATTTTGCCTATTTATATCTGAGATGCAGTACTTTTCTTTTTTTTTTTTCCTAAGCAGGCTCTACACCCAGTGTGGAGCCCAACGAGGGGCTTGAACTCACAACCCGGGGATCAAAACCTGAGCTAAAATCAAGTCGGACACTTAACCGACTGAGCCACCCAGGCGCCCCATGAGATGCAGTACTTTTTTTGACACATCTCAATAAATCTATTTCACTAATATCTAGAAAAGGGCTGGCAGCTGGTGATCACTCCCATCTCCTTGCCATTAAGCTCAGTGTCCATATCTGACTATACTTGTTCATTACACTGTGGGGTGAGTGTGCTCTGGGTACCGTCCCTGGCTCAAGTGTTTCTGGACTGGTCCCTTGAAAGGAGACTGCCCTGCACCACTGTGGCCTCGCACCCAGGTCTACACTGAGCAAGTGGGAATGAAAGAGCCAAGGCCAAGAGATGCCCACTCGTTCCCACCCAGTACTTTCACCAAGCACAATGCCTTTATGCATTGTGTCATACACTTCCATGGTAATTTATAATATACATCTTTATATTTATCTTAGAAAAGGGGAAAATATGGGTGCCTGGGTGGCTCAGATGGTTAAACATCTGCCTTTGGCTCAGGTCATGATCCCAGGGTTCTGGGATCGAGTCCTGCATCAGGCTCCCTGCTCCTTGGGAGCCTGCTTCTCCCTCTGCCTCTCTCTCTCCCTGTCTCTCATGAATAAATAAATAAAATCTTAAAAAAAAAGGGGGGAAAATATACACAAACTCTTGACTCTTCAGATTACTTGTCTCCTTATATATATTAAGAATCCTGCCCTGAAACCTCACCGGAAAATTCTGTACCCAGATGAACCACAGAATGCTGCACATCAAAGGGTCATCTGAATGGAAAGTCAGTCTCATGCAATGAGAATTTCATACTTTGAGAAAAATGGGTCAAAAAATAAATGTCAGAAGTTGCAAATTTCTCCCACAGAGCATCTCCAATGTGACTCAAACCTTTTAAAAATAAGAGTGGTGAATTATTCAGTTAAATAATTGATTTTTTTTAAAAAGCAAACTAACTTTAGAATAGTTTTAGAGTTTTACAAAAAAGTTGAGTTCTTCCTATTGTTAACATCTTTTATTGCTAAGGTGTATCTATCATAAATAAGGAGCCGAAGTTGATACATTAATATTAACTAAAGTTCATACTTTATTCAGATTTCCTTAGTTTTCTCCTTTTTCTATTCCAGGATCCTATCCAGGATACCATGTTACATTTAGTCATCATATATCCTTTGGATCTTCTAGACTTTAACAGTTTCTCAGACTGACTTTGTTTTTAATGACCTTGACAGACTTTTAAGAACACTGGTCAGGTATTTTGTAGAATGTCCCTCAATTTGGGTATGTCTGATGTCTTTCTCATGTTTAGACTAGGGTAATGGGCTGCTGGGGGGGAGAAAGACCAAGGGGTATAGTGCCATTCTCATCACATAATAGTCACAACATGAACACTGTGGATGCTGACCTTGAGGTCAAGCTTTTCCACAGGAAAGTTACACTTTCTTATCCCCTTTCCACACTGCACACTTTGGAAGAAAGTCACAACGTGTAGCCCGTACTTCACTTAAGGAGCGGGAATTATAGTCCACTTCCTGACAGCAGAGTATCTATATAAATCATCAGGAATTTTGCACAGGAGCTTTCTCTATTCTCATCCATTTATTTATTTAGTCATTAATGTCAGTATGGACTGCTGGATATTTTATACTCCGGGATATAATTCAATACTGCACTATTTATTTCATTGCTGAAATCACTGAGGGCTCCTCCAAATGGCTCCCATATTCTGTTGACATACTGCCATTGTTGTGTTTGTTGAGCACTTCCCTTACTTTCT